AATCCACTCGGAATACTTTTAATCACTCATAAATTAATTTATTTTTTATTGATTAAGTCGATTATTTACACATTTCGGGAAGTTCATGTAACTTGCCTCAAGGCAAAATACTAGTACCAACTAGTTTTCTTTCTTGAATTATAAATGATTATTATGATTTTTATTATTGTCAATATTTGATTTATATAAATTATGATTAACCATATGATTTAGAATTTTATTCCTCGGTGTATATAAATGTATATTTGCGTAAATTTTGAATTCTAATTTAAGAACAGGTTAATAATTTTATTTTATTGTATTCATTAAAATTCGTTGAATTCGTATAAGCATCTTTACGATTTTGTTCAGCGATTTTTCCTATTTTTTTATATCAGCTTATAAATGTCATTTATTTTGAAAAGTTTATATTTAAAACATCAATTTTTCTTTTGAAAATCAGGGCTGGCGGAAGGCGAGGTCTGCTAGGTCTGCAAAGCCTTAGGGCATTATATAAATATGTTGACGAGTGCATGTAAATATGTCTGAAAAAAATTACTCTGTGTATTAATTAATATTGATTAAATAACTTAATAATTTTTTAATTTCCGTAGGGTAAGTTATACATAGTAATCGCAAAAATGTCGAAAGTGAAAATTTTTATATATCTTTACGTTTCAGAGGTTACTGAATTTTGGCATATCTTAGAAAAAATGGATGTGTGTGTGTGTGTTTAGATACAAACTTTTGTCGATGATTGTAGGAACACGCATCAACCTATTTGAACAAAACATTCGATTCGTACTGATAAAACGTGCTAATTAGTTTTTGGCAAAACGGGTCCAGCCGTTCCAAAGATACGGGGCAAAAGAGCCAAAAATTGTAATTTAGATCTTGAGAGAACGAAGCGTCCGTTTTAAGTAATTCAAAAAACATTTTATTTGTATTGACTAAACAAAGAACTGTTTTTGGGATGGCAGGTCTAGAGGTCTAGCGATTACGGAGAATCAATAAGAAAAAGTAAAAAAATGGCATATTTGGCGGTCCAAAATGATCATTAGATATATCCACGTCAAATTATCTGATATTTTCTAGAGATTTTAATAATAAGAACAAATTTAATTTACATTTCTATGGGTTCCGTATCAATGTCTAGCCGTTTCGCTTTGATATTTCGTATCTAAAACAGCTGCGCAGCGCGATTGATTTGAAAAAAAGTTACAAATTTCCAAAAAAATATATTTTTTTCAGATTTCAAAAAATTTTTAATCTTTTTTAAAAATTTTATGTTTCGGTACGAGAAGTGCCAGCAATTTGCCTTAAGGCATGATGTTATGCTCCATAGTTTATTTGTATTAATTTATGAAAACTACTATTTGACTGACTTATAATTGAAAGGGCGGCAATCTGGAGACCGCCCCGGGCGGCAAAAGTTCTAGGTACGCCACTGATTGTATGATTTAAAATGTTCAATCATCAGCAAAAATAAAAATGAAGAACAAAAATAATTAATTTGTTATTTCTAGGCCAGACTTGAGCAGCAAAGCTTAATTCAACATTGAAATTTTTTATTTGTTAGAGAGAATGCGTTCAAGTGCAAAGAGCGGCCAAATATTCGAAGGTGGCGCGAGCAGCAGTAACTTTGCGGCGCACGTACGCTAAAACTATTGATGTTACAGAAAAAAACGTGATTGAATAAGTTATAGAAAATTTTGTCTAGTTTAATTTTGTATATAGTTATTTTAATGTAACATGAGTCAGAAAGGAGATATCGTTGAAAAACTGATTTTTGACGCCATTTTTCCAATATAGCGGCGGCAGCGGCAAAAATTCGAGGTGGCAAAGTTGAAATTCGTAAAGATCACATCAAAATCTATAAAATCACAAATTTTCAAAACTACCGCACTCTTTAGGTAAAACTACTAAATGACTGAACTAAATGAGCATGATTCTGAAACGTCATTTAGTGCCATTTTAGACATGAGTCAATACACACCGAAAGAACGCGCTGAAATCGTAACGCTTTACATTGAAAACAATCGCTCCACCCTCTCCGGCGGAGTCAATAAACAAAACTGTCGGATTTGGGGAACAGAAAACCCACACGTGATTCTTGAAACACCACTGCACGATCAAAAAATTATTGTTTGGGCTGGAGTGTGCTCCAAAACCATCATCGGACCATTTTTTTTCAAAGTTGGAGAAACCATTGACGGCGCACGTTATCGTTGGATGTTGGCGCACTTTGTGTGTCCGCAAATGCGTGAAAAAGGCCTCACTAACTTTTATTTTCAACAAGACGGCGCACCTTGCCACACCGCAGTTGCTACGATGCAGTTTTTGCAGCGCAAGTTCCCGGGACACGTTGTGTCGAAAAATGGTGATTTGGAGTGGCCGCCTCGTTCTCCAGATTTAACCGTACCTGACTTTTTTCTTTGGGGCTATTTAAAAAGCAAAGTTTATGCCAGCAAGCCGAAGACAATCGACGAATTAAAAGGTAACATACAGGCCGAAATAGCTGCTATAACGCCTGAAATGCTGGCCAATGTTATGCAGAATGCGCGAAAAAGAGCTGCTTTTTGTGTATCAAATGAAGGTGGTCATTTAATCGACGTTGTATTCTAAACCTGGTTTGAAATAAATGGCATGAAATATTCTAAATAAATCTTGCTCATTTGTCAAAATCTGATAATTACCGACAGAGTTATTCAACTTTGAAATACCGCAGGTCTAAATGGCGCACCCGTATAAAGTATTCACTCAATTAGTCTGTAGATTAACTAAAATAAAACAATACAACAAATTCTTTCTTTTTTTATTCAATATAGTTGCCGTTGAGGACTCGATATATCGAATATAGCAAACTTCGAAGGGCGAGTCGATTTGTATGGCTAAAAAAATTCACATAGACACATATGATTTTCGCATACTAGGGATCAAAGTAAAATACTTTGCCGAATAAACCATATCTCTAAAATGAATTCTGATGTCACGTGCATTCTCCCAAAGATTGGGTCAAATTTTAAAAAATCCTGTTTTGGCTCATTTAGAGCGCCTTAATTATATTCAAATGTATGACCGACCCCAGTAACATTGGAAGGCCGATCTACCAATGCCCATAGTTCACCCCCTGGGAGCTCCCTTTAGAGGTCCCCCCAAAAAAAGTTGCATCATTTTGGGTACTTCAACATGACAAAAATCTGCGATTTTTTTTTAATTTTCAAAATTTGTTCCATGCTCTTTCCATACGAAGTTTGATTGAATTGCGCTCTGTCTAAACGTTAATATTAAGAGCTAAAACTTTCAGAGAATTGTTTTTTATCTATTTGGAACCATTTGAGCCCCTGGGAGCAAGGAAATTCGAAAATGACCATTTTAAGGACCACCCTAATATATATATATGTATATATATATATATATATATATATATATATATATATATCACACGGTGTGATATATTTATACAAGATTCACACCCATCATCCTTTATCAGTGATGATGCGTATGAATTTATGTATGAAACGTAAAATAATCAAATATAGTAAATAAATTTGCATAGTCTTTGTGTGCCTTACACGATTACAACTAGACAGTATATTATAGTGCATTTGGTAATTTGTATCGGAATAACATAGATATGTGTGAAATATGTGTCGCATTTCTTATATGTTACGGAAATGAAATGCATTTGATTCTATATGTTATAAATTAAAACGTGATGAATACATAAAATGAACAGTGATAAAATACACTTGAACACAACAAAACACACATAACATATATACACCAATAACACAACAGATAAACATTAAAATGAGGGCCTTCACCATAAATGATTGTAAGAGTAATATGTATGATTATTAAATCTAATTATATATTTCTAATGCTTTTGCGTTATAATTCATAATAATAATAATAATAATAATAATAACAATAATAAATTAAAATAAATATCAGTCACATTATTTTGTATTTCTTGATATCTGTAAAGATTAAAGTAAAATATTTTACGTGTATGAAATGAAATACTAGATTTGATGATTCTATATTTAAATTGTAATTTTATTTATTTATTAATTAAAAATTATAATTTTGATTAATTGACTTGAAACATGGTCATATGTTCATAGATCATTAGAAAAAATATATGTGCACCAATTTCAAAATCTTTAAAATGTTATCCTAAATTCAATTCTGATATTTTAACAAATTAAAACGTATAATAATGTATAATTTTTTTTTGTAATATCATTGCAACTATGATAAAAAACGACCTAAAGAAATTATATTAATCAAAATATTATTTGTTATAAAATAAACAAGAAAAAACATTTTTGTCGAACTGCGAAAATAAATTTATAAATTTAATAAAAAGCTGTAGGCATTATTGATATATGTAGGTATGTTGATTCATATGATCATTCAAACATAAATGCAAACAAAAAAAAAGGTAACAAAATCGAAAATCGAATATTTAATTTTAATCGTCTAATCTTCATTTACTGTTATTTTATTTACAAATTCTTTACTAATCAAACGTAACATTTTCTATTGCACAGTCAAACGATAATATCACCCAAAAGAAAGCAAAAATGCGAATGTTGACTTTTTTGTAATAGGTCAAACTATTACAAAACTCATTGTTGACATACGTTTCGAATTAAATACTACTAATCGACGACGCATGAAGAATTGGTTTTTATTTATAGTAGGAATTTAAAATTAAATTATTTGTTTTTCGAAACATTTGTTATGATATATCAGCATATATGTTTGGACTTTAGTTCTTTTGATCATCGAATTTATAATTAAGAACCAGTCAATGAACAAAAAAAAAAAAAAACATCCAGCTGTATAGAGACTTATGACGTTGGGTATTATCACCGTGTAAGCAAATATTGTTATATGATCTTTACCAAAGATCTCTATATTACTTTCAAAGACCTCTAAATTATTATACTCATTTTAAAATATTTATCAAATCAATCATCATGGAGAAAGGCCCGTACCTAATTTTGTACCTCGAATTGTCGTCCTCGTCTTTGACCCCCGTGTCCGCTTTTTCAGTGGCTGTTGCTGATTGTTGTTGATCAGCCGTATTTGCTGGTTGTTGCTGATCACCTGCACCCTGTTGCTGATCATCTCCCTTACGCAAGCCCGGTATGCTCGCGTTGCCTAACCAGCCCGTCATTTGAGATTTAACGTTCGTGAACATTTCTAGTCGGCTACCGCTCGTCTTCGTTGGACTGAGAAAAAGACACTTCATAATTATCACAGCACAACTTAAATTTGAACGAGTGGAATTAATAAATAGATTCAATTAAGATATTAGAGCTTCCAATATCATAAGAATCAAGAACAACTTTTGTAATTTCTAAGAAATTCCGCTGATATTCATTTTTATGCTTGTAGACGATAAACAAATATACAAATATTTGGGAGATTATTGAATAAATTTTGAATTTTATAAATTACAAATTTTATAAAATCAAACGATAATTGCCCTCGTATTTTACATTTTATTGTTTTGTTATGTAATAGAAAACTTACTTCTAGAAAATCATCCAAGTCCTCAACTTTCATTTTTTATCTATAAGTTTATATTTTTTTATGGTTCAGTAATGTTATCATATTATATTAAACTTGCAAAAAATGATTTAAATCATTAAGATATGTATGAGTCATATTAACTTTTCATAGGCTAAGATATAGTAATTGCAAATGCATCGAAAAGAAATTTTTTCATATATTTCTATGTTTCAAATTTTTCTGAACATTTTTGCATACCTTATTGTAAGAAAAAAATGTGTGTATGCGTGTGATCGTATGTATGCGGATACAAGTTTTCGTCGACGATTTTGGAAACAAGGTTGAACCGATTTGAATGATTCAAAATACTTTCAATTCCCATAAGGAGACGTGCTGTTTAGTTTTTAGTAAAATAGTCAATAGAAATGATAATTCATGGGCCGATTCTGCCGTAAAATAGACCAATGTTATGGCAAGGCTATGTTACGTTCCAGTGTGCATATAAAATGCTACCAAATAGTGTCAAAAAGCCATGTATTTGCTGTGCAATCAGGCGTTTTACACAAAGACTGCAACTTCACTTGTATGGTATCAAGCTATATCACAAAAAAACAGTTATTATAAGATTTCTTTCTTGACATTTGTGCGTTTTCTAGGTTTTCTATCTAAAACGCCTGACTGCACAGCATCCACTTTGCTTTTGACAGTATTGAGAACGATTTTGTGTGAAAATTTCTACATGACATAAACTTGCCATTACATTGGTCTATTTTACCGCAAAATCGGTCCCTCAGTTTTTAAAAGAACACAGCGTCCGATTTCAGTAATTCAAAAAACATTTTACTTGTACAGACTGAATGAAGAACTGATAAAATTTTTGGGAAGACAGGAGGTCAAAAAAAACATTTGGCGGTCAAAAATTATCATTAGAATAATAAATAGGATAAATTTTGTTTACATTTCTATAGGTTTCATACCAATGTTTATTAACTTCCCGTAGGGTAAGTTATAGTAATCGCAAAAAAATCGAAAATGAAAATTTTTATATATCTTTACGTTTCAGAGGTTTCTGAACATTTTGGCATACCTTAGAAAAAATGGATGTATGTGTGTGTGTGTGTGTGTGTGTGTGTGTGTGGGTGTGTGTGCGTGTGTGTATGTATGTGCGGATACAAATTTTCGTCGACGATTTCGGGAACACGGATCAACCGATTTGAATAATTCAAAAAACATTCGATTCGTATTGATAAGGAGACGTGCTGATTAGTTTTTGGCGAAGGCAGGTCTAGCCGTTCCGGAGATACGGGGCAAAAAGTGCCGAAAACGGCAACTCAGTTTTTAAGAGAACGGAGCGTCCGATTTTAATAATTCAAAAAACATTTTACTTGTATTGACAAGGTAAAGAATTGATCATAAAGGATAAAGAATTTTCATAAAGGCAGGTCTAGTGGTTTCGGAGATCTAACGAAAAAAGTAAAAAAAAATGCCATTTGGCGGTCAAAAATGATCATTAGACATATGCACATCAAATTTTCAGATATTTTATAGAGATTTTAACAATAAGTATAAATTTTGTTTATTTTCCTATGGGTTCCGTATCAATGTTTACCCGTTAGACAGCGACGCCGCGCTTACGCGCTTTATATTTTGTCTCTATGCAGTTAAAGCAGTACGATTGCTTTGAAAAACAAGTTCAGATCTTCCAAAATATGTCAAAATAAAGAAAACATTTTTTTTTCAAAAAAAAAAATTTAAAAAAAATTTTTTTTTTTTAAAATTTAAAAAAAATTTTTTCTTTTTTAAAAAATTTTTTTTTCAAAAAAAAGTAATTTTTTGTCCAATTTATAGTTTCTCAAAAATCTTATTTTTTTCGAAGTAAATTTTTTTCAAAAATGTTAATCGTTTTTAAAAAAAATAATTGTTGGTACGGGAAGTTCCAGCAATTTGCCTTAAGGCACGATGCCCTAATTGCCTTAAGACAGAATTCCACTTACAGCTAGTTTATTCGTTAAACTGCGACGCGACACTTACGCACTTTGAATAAAAAAAACTGCCAAGCGCACGATTGCTTTGATTAAAGTTCAAAATTTTCAAAACATTTCAAACTATATATAATTTTTTTTTAATTCAATATTTTTCATAAATTTCAAAATTCTCACGAATCATTTTTTTTCAAAGTTTTCAAAAAATTTGAAAGCTTTCTTAAAAATTTTAATTTTCGGTACGCTAAGTTCCGGCAATTTGCCCTAAGGCACGATGCCATGCACCACTAGTTTTATTTTTATTTATGGAAATACGGAGATGGTAGACGTGATTACATATATGCAATCGAAAATATAAATTAAATACATTTTAAATCATTTTCATTATTACATGATCATCAAAACTATATTCATTGTTTAAACGTAATATTTTTGTTTCTTTGTTTTTTTGCAGCAATCGAAATTACTTTACTATAAATTGTATTAAGATACAATTGTACTAAGGCTTATTACTAAAAGCAATGTTATTAGTAGGCAATCAATTGGTTGTCCTTACCATATAAGACATAGTTTATATTTAATACTAGTCGCTATTAGAATACAACACCACGGCCAGCTTTCTAATTGGGATATTGCAGCAATACCCCGAAAATCGTTTTCACTTGGATATTGCATATTACTATATTTATTTCCGAATAAAGATTGATTTAAATAATGCTTGAAATCAGGCTGTACGAGGTGGAAATCGAGTCTAGAAATTCTGCTTGAAATACCACAGCTCTAATCACTAATCCATGGGGAACGAGCCCAATATATAAATTGAAAATATATTTCGGCTTCTCTGAGATAGCGTACACAACTGTGCCATGTAATTCTTAAGTAAAGCTTTATAAATCAGCAGTTATAATTGTACCGTTTGATCAAATATACGTTATTTTATTCTAAAAATCGGAATCATTGGATCAATAATTTTGCCGTTGCATTATCTACTATATTTATGCCTTGTTCCTTGTTCCTAGTGGAACTAGAATTTTGCGAATCAAGCTTTCACTTTTTGAAGCTCGATTCGCTCGAAGGATTAATACGTGAAACTGCACGAGTTGTGTGCTTCGTCGAACTACTCTCGTTCAGCTACCACTTTCAGGGCAATTGCCTATTTGAATACTTGCGTAATAGTTTGCAATATTAACCGCAGAAAATACAACGGGGAATTTATAAAATGAATTAATATTTTAATAATTCGCCCTATAAATTATCCTCTCTTTTTGTAAGATCGTAAGATTGCGATATTGATCGAGTTGTAACGTAGTGCGTTAGAAAATAATGCAGATAACATATCAAAATTATGGAAAGTAAATCATTATTATTATATATAAAGTATATTTACAGAATGAATAGAGTTCGTTTATTTCCCAACTATGACGATGAATCAATATTTCAACCCGCATTTTTTTGGCTTCTTTTAATTTATCTTTTGAACTATCTGTAAGTGGATTTCTGTCTTAAGGCAATTAAGGCATCGTGCCTTAAAGCAAATTGCTGGAACTTCCCGTACCGCAATTCAAAATTCGAGTAAAAATAATCAATAATAATCAATAAAAGTTGATCAATTATTTGAAACTTTTAATAGAATTTCGAACCATATTAAATCATTCTATCTTGAATCATTTATTTTGAAATATTTTGGAAATTCTGAACTTTTTTTCAAAGCAATCGTACTGCTTTAACTATATAAAGACGAAATATCGAAGCGCGTAAGCGCCGTGTCGCCGTCTAACGAGTAAACATTGATACGGAACCCATAGGAATGTAAACAAAATTTATACTTATTGTTAAAATCTCTATAAAATACCTGATAATTTGATGTGCATATGTCTAATGATCACTTTTGACCGTCAAATAACATTTTTTTTACTTTTTTTTTACTAAATCTCCGAAACCGCTAGACCTGCTTTTATGAAAATTTGATCAGTTCTTCATCATGTTAATACAAGTAAAATGTTTTTTGAATTATTCAAATCGGACGCTCCGTCCTCTTAAAAACTGAGTTACCGTTTTGGGCACTTTTTGCCCCATGTCTTCGGAACGGCTAGACCTGCCTTCGCCAAAAACTAATCAGCACGTCTCCTTATCAATATGAATCGAATGTTTTTTGAATTATTTAAATCGGTTGATCGGTGTTCCCGAAATAGTCGACGAAAATTTGTATCCGCACACACACACACGCACACACACTCACACGTACAACCATTTTTTCTAAAGTATGCCAAAATGTTCAGAAACCTTTGAAACGTAAAGATATATAAAAATTTTCATTTTCGATTTTTTTGCGATTACTATTATATTACTATAACTTGCATTTAATATTTTATATTTTAAATTTTATTATACAATTTGCTTCTGTTCGCGTCTTGAATTTTACCTGAACTAGCTGTAAGTGGAATTCTGTCTTAAGGCAATTAAGGCATCGTGCCTTAAGGCAAATTGCTGGAACTTCCCGTACCAAATTTTTTTTTTTTAAACGATTAACATTTTTGAAAAAAATTTACTTAAAAAAAAATTAGATTTTTGAGAAACTATAAATTGGACCAAAAATTACTTTTTTTTAAAAAAAAAAAAAAAGAAAATTTTTAAATTTTTTTTTTTTGGAAAAAAATTTTTTTTCTTTATTTTGACATATTTTGGAGGATCTAAACTTTTTTTCAAAGCAATCGTACTGCTTTAACTGCATAAAGACGAAATATCAAAGCGCGTAAGCGCCGCGTCGCCGTCTAACGCGTAAACATTGGTACGGAACCCATAGGACTGTAAACCAAATTCATACTTATTGTTAAAATCTCTATAAAATATCTGATAATTTGATGTGCATAAGTTTAATGATCATTTTTGACCGCCAAATGGCATTTTTTTTTACTTTTTTCATTAGATCTCCGAAACCGCTAGACCTGCCTTTAAGTAAATTTGATCGGTTCTTCACCTTGTCAATATAAGTAAAATGTTTTTTGAATTATTAAAATCGGACGCTCCGTTCTCTTAAAAACTGAGTTACCGTTTTCGGCACTTTTTGCCCCGTATCTTCGGAACGGCTAGACCTCCCTGCGCCAAAAACTAATCAGCACGTCTCCTTATCAATACGAATCGAATGTTTTTTGAATTATTCAAATCGGTTGATCCGTGTTCCCGAAATCGTCGACGAAAATTTGTATCCGCACATACATACACACACGTACATACATACACACACACATACATACACACACACACATACATCCATTTTTTCTAAGGTATGCCAAAATGTTCAGAAACCTTTGAAACGTAAAGATATATAAAAATTTTCATTTTCGATTTTTTTGCGATTACTATAACTTGCCCTACGGGAAGTTAACAAGAAATGCGATTTACGGTTAACACCCACAAAAGATTTTTGTCGCTAAATAATGATTGAATATTTTATAAATGGATAAATCAAGAGGCTTATATATTGCGTACAAGTAGTATGAATATTTACAATGACTGGTTTTATTGAAAATTTTAAAATAGATTGATTTGATCAATTTCAGATGAAAATCGCTTTTCAATTTAATTTTTAATTAGAAGATAGACGTCTTGATATTGCGCATGGAAAAAAACAGAAAATTTTAGAAGAATGTACGCACATTTAAATGATGTTAAAAAAATACCTATAAATACAATGTTAGTAGTTCATTTCAAAATTCAAACAAGTCATGCTTTCATAAGCTTTATTTTAAACAACTTCCAGCAATCTAAAAAATCATTAAAAGTCGTGCCTGAATAAAGGCAAAGGCAAAGGAACATCAGAAAATCAATACGTTCGGCGTGGCGCAGATGTACAACCATACTCTGCACTACATACAAAATTCTATACTATGATTAAATTTTATAGTAACATACATACCTACTCAAACTTTACTCCAACTATTTTTTTTTTATTTATTTTTTTTTTAATATTTTTAATGAAAAAAAAACAACCAACCAAAAGGCCAATGTATTTTTATATGGCATGTTAAGCTTATCGATTTCTAACATAGTAATCTAATACATGTGCCAATAATTCAAATAATTAATTAAATAAAATAAATAAATATAAACAAGATAATTAAACTTGGTCATCAGTTTTATCGATAAAGATTTTAAGATACTATAACAATATTGTATATCACCTCTGTTTTTTATCACCATCGGTATTTAATTCAACATCTGCTTCGGCGGTAGGAGTAGGTACATCTTCCTCCTGCGTTTCGCCTTTTGCTGCTCCCATCCAGGAACTAACTTGACTCGTCAGTCCAGTGAACATTTTAAAATAGGGGTTTTCCTTATAATTTACAAAATGTCAACACGTTTTTTCTTTTCAAATCACACACTCTCAACAATACAATGCACTATATTAATACCAAAACAACACACGAGGGCATATCGCGTGAATAATTTTTAATTTTACCTGCGAACTATCTCAATCTCAATATGTGCCAAGCCTAGTCAACACGTAGAAAAGACACTGGTCTGTCAAATAGCATGAACCCGCGGCAGTCAATAATATGCCTTGAGAGCATTTGTTCCCTGAATCGCTTCGTGCAACACTTTTCAAGTTTGGTATGTTTTTCTTCTCTGGTAACACGACCGATTTGAACGATTTGAAATTAAAGCAAAAGCTCTTAAAGCTACATCGCTATATTTCGAACTTGTTCAAACATTGACACTTGTACTTTCTTTCAAATCCCGTCTTAAATCATTTTTTTGTTTAATAATAAAATTTTAATTTAATTTAAAACAAATTAACAATACATAGAAAGTTAAAACGATTAAGTATGCTCTCCAAATCAATAATAGAGAATGTTGTCTCTATGAATTCAGGAACTAACAACTGAAATTTATATAATTAATTAAAATACATTATATATATAAAATAAACAATTCATTTATTGCAGATTTTCTGATTATAATAATAAGTTCTAAAAAATAATTTTGATTTGTCATACATATATAAACTTTTCATTAATTTAATCATGCACCAATTGATCATTCAATATTTTTATATTCTTACACCTTTATAAAGAATAATTATAATTATGATGTGGAGTAACTTTATAAATTTCTTATATATAAATCACTAACTTACAATATTAAAAGTAATGTAACAATATCCTCTAAGAAATTTCATCTCTTTTTCGAGTGCCTCTACATTAGTTTGATAGTTTTGAGTTATTATATCACAATTATTGTTTTCACAACAATCACGCAGACAGATTTCATGTTATATTACAACATTCAAATTTATAGTTTGATTGAACATATATAAATGCAGAAAAAACTCCTACAAACAATGTATATTTCAACTCTATGTTCTCAATCAAATAAATACATATATAAATAATGTCTTACATTTATTTTCTCGAAATTGATATATAAATAAATTAAATGAATTGAAAACCTGTTTTATTTTTAAAATATATTTTGCATAACAATTTAAAATTTTAATAAAAATTCAAATATTACATTTATTTTCTAAATGTGGCAATAATATCATAATACTGCATAAATTTAATATTTTTCCTGTAAAATATCTAAGTATTTAGATATTGAGATTATTATTATTTAGACACAGAATGTGGAATAAAATTCAAAATTTATTAACAGCTTAATAAAGAAATTAGTGAAATTTTTGTAAAGACTGTATGAAATATGATTAAGCAAGATTTGACTGCGCACTAAACATGCATATGCCCTATGCCCTGTTTTACACAGTACTCTCTTAACAAGTTTTTGGACTTACACTGTTTTTGAAAAAATGCTGGGAACTCCCGGTTTTATGATCAAAACTTAATTTTATGTGTGTATAACTTAGTATATTATATTAAAAACTGACAAAAAGAGCTGTTTTTATAGCGATTTTCGTTTAGCACGGTTTTTCCATATAAAAGTGAATTTTTCGAATTACACACTTTTTTATGAAACATATCTTCTATGTAAAACAGGGGATGTATTTAGCTAACTTTCTAGTAACGATGCCGTGGATACAACATAGGTGGGTTCTGCTGAGCATTAGGTGGTCTTATTGGATATCCAGAAGTAATACTACCTGTTTTCTGATTCTGTTGCAAAAAAATGCATTTATTAAAATCTAGTACATTGATGATATTTTTCTGACATGTAAATATGTTACATATACATACCTGTGGTGAATTAGTGATTGGCATGCCACCTCCATGCATCGGTCTGCTATACACGATAGTTTCTTGAGATTGCTGAGGAGGTGCTACTGCTAAACCATGAGGAGCTAAATTTTTATCAATGTACCCAGTTCTCTCTTGCTGCTGCATTTTTCTCTCATCGTGTTTCAGATCAATGTGATAATTTCTATCAGTTATCATTTTTTCAGGCATTGATAAAGACATATGCATATTTTGGTCACTAATAGTTGGCTTGGGATCTACATTTATGTGATATACAGATGTGGAAGCTTTTCCGGGTTCTTGTTTTAAATCAATATGGTAATTCTGGGCTTGTCGAATATTTGGTTCAGGCCTGTGTGATATCACTTGCAATTTCTGTGGAGTAAATAAATAATTTGAATAAAATAATTCACTATAAATACTATATTCTACTTTAAAAATGTGAATCTATAATTAATATTTTTGATTTGTTGACCTATATCTTGTATTAAACTTACTGGAGCATATGTAGAATAAATCATTTGAGTTGGACGATTATCTGTTGACATGGGAGGAGCAACCTGATAGAATGGTGTACCAGGAGGATTTGTATATTGAGATGGTTCTGTAAAATGAAAAATAATGGAAAAATTATATGCATATAAAACTTAGCTTGAAATCTGATGTTTGTTAAAGAAACAAGAGTTTTTTATGAAGAACAACGGGCAATTTGTTGTCAGTGAACATTAATCTTTATGAAATCTCTGAATATTATGAGAAAAAGTATTTTCTTAACAAGTATACACTGTAGAAAATACTTTTAAGGTATCAATCCTCATACAATTATTATAAGTTTATTCAAAATGTTACTCACTATTCCAGAGCACAGCACGAGCAACTTCACCCCCTCTCCTGCCTTCATCTACTTCTATGAATATTAAAAGATGTTTTTGAATTAATTATTTGATTTAGACATATTAAATTTATTTTTACTCACTTGGTGGAATGTAGTTAGTTGTTTTATAATAACCCCCAACATTAGGAGTTGGAGAAGGGCTTCTTCCACGTTTTATAGCACCTCCACCAATTATTTGTGTTGGTGCCTGGTATTCAATTTTGTTGATCAATATGTGTATGTTGTGTATTTACATGAAATATTATTATTTTACTCTGCATGCCTATCAGTGAAATTTTTCTTACCTTGTGTAATAACTGTTGAGGCTGGCCTAAAATATGAGGTTGTCCTATAGGTCTTGCATTAGCTGAAGCTCCGACAGGAGGTAAAAATATCTGTTGATGAACCATGGGCTGAGGGGGCATCGAATGCATCATCATTTGTTCACTGAAATCAAGCAGTTTTACATAAGTAATACTAATGTTAACATATTGTTTTGAAATAAATCGGAAACAAAAAATTTCAAATAGATTATTAAAATATTCACACCTATTTTCTTTAATCAACTGCCGTCTTCTATTATCATCTTCATTTAATACTTTTTTTAAACGCAAAAATAATAGATGTTTCTCGTCTTTCAACTGTGATAATTTTTTTTCCAATAGAAGTATTTGTTCTCTAGTTTCACCTGCAAATTTATACATATAAAAGATTATTAGAATTGAATATATAAATGTTTTTATTCATTTCTCTGCTAAAAAATAGAGATGAATTATTACAATTTGTATTATTCAAAAGCCAAAATAAACAAAACTTTACAAGTAAAACTGATCACCTAATGTCATAACATCTTGCCTCTCCCGTGCTTCTCTTTCCTTTCTTAACCTCTCCTCTTCAACTTCGGCTTCCTGTTCTATAATAATAAAAAAATGTGTAGTTTCATATGTATTTAAAATGTGAAATTGTTTACATTCACATATGGAAACCTTTGTACACTAGGAGTACAAATGAAATCACTCAAGTGATTTAAGTGAAAAATCGATCTTTGACTGAAGGATTCAAAAACGGATTAAAGAAATTGTTAGTTAGTATGAAATAATATCACTAACCTTGTTTTTTGCGCTGCCTTTCTCTCATAATATGTCTCTTGAGCGCATTCCAAATTTCTTCTGATTTATCTGGTTTTTCAGAAACTGCCTGAGCCGGAGGGGTAGTGGCTGCAGGCATATTTACAATCTTTTTATTAAACTTCACGGGAATTTTGAAATGTTTTATTTTACTTATGAAGTAATAAATATAACCCTCTTATTGCTATTTTACTGTTTTTGTTTTACTGTGAACACACACAAAGTTTACTTATACTGTCGCTGAACTGTTGGATTGCTTAAACATAAACTAAAACCAAAATACAGGGTCTAACTGTTTACTCAAAAACTTTCAATTGAGTTTTGTTTTGGTATCATTATATTATTTATTTCATTGTTTAAGAAAACAATTCTACTGTTTATTGTTGTTGAAAAATTTCACATACAATATCGATTAGTGCGATGCAAAATGCAAGTGACATTTGATTTGTACATAAAGTTCGGAGTGAAGATAGCGGCGTTATAGAATTATGGAACATGGAACCATACTCTTCTTTTATCTATGCATGGAACGCAATCGGTTAATTTTTTCGATTTTGAGTCTGTTTTGAAGTAGTAACTACTCTTTTTGCTGTGTTTTATTTAATGAAATTCTGACACGAATCAACGTCGCTGAAATGTGCGACCAGTAATGTTTCTTTTAAAAGCAATATAATATAATAATGTATTATTGCAAAATCATAATATGATATGTAATATAACCCATATTATATTATTATTATATATTGTCTATGACATAACCTTAAATATGTATATGCGTGTTGCGTGTACAGTTGATTGTTTGTTTAATACGACATTAGAATTAATCATTAACGAAAATTATTTTAAATCGTTGTTGATGCTGTTTACAAGCTAAATTTTCATAAATTTGTGGTATAATTTTTGTGTTCAATTAAGAAAATTTGTAGTAAGTTTTGTTTGAAGTTTTATGATTATTTGTTGTGTGATGGAATTATGACTTTGAAGTGTACATGGAATCTTTATTGTTAATTCCATTTATATTGTTATTTGATTTGACTAGTTCTTTAGTTGTCTAACTGATAACAAACATATTTAATATCTATATTCAGATATTATTCTGATTAATTTGCTAGTTCACTGTTTTCTCTTGAGGTCGATTTCCGATTGCAATATGTTCAAAAAATTAGTTAATTCAGACCCTGATCTCAAAAGTGTGAATGTGCCAGAAGAGTTGAGAGACCATGACGACAATGATCACAATCAAACGGCACAATCTAGTGTTACAAAGTATATAACTGAACAAGAATTTTTATGTAATTTTTTAGATGATGTTGAATATGAAGAATTTGATAAAGAGAAATCATCTAAAGGTATTTAATTTTAACTTTTAATTAATAGTTAGTAATTTAACAAATAACTAAGATATTTTCATGCTTTTAATTCTGCACCTTGTTACAAAATACAATGCACCTTAGTTTTTTCTTTTGAATAGCAATATGTACATAAATAATTATTAGATGAATTTCATTAAAAAAATTTGTGAGGGGTAATGATACAATTAAAAACACAATTTTAGAATAGAATGAATGATTTAATTATATATATATTTTTATTAATGTAATGTAATGTATTATAGAAAGTGACTTGTTACATAAGTTCCTGTTTTAGTTTTATTGATACAATTAATATTTATGCTGGTTTTGAAAAAAAAAAATTGACTGTTTTAACAATTATTGTCAGATGTTGATTATTTAATTAATAGTAAAGTGAAATAAGATCTTAAAATTATGATTCTTGTACCTGAAAGTAATTATGTATTTAAATCTAAACATATAATCTATAATTTTTATGACCGAAATAAATTATGTATTATTGTATCTTTCTTTCAATCAGTTTAGTGCTCTGAATCCATGTAATAATAATTTAAATTTACTTTAAATATTTCATTCTGGAAACATTTGTGCAGGGGCTTCAGATATCTCAAAAGGAAGAAATAGTGTGTCAAAACTTCAGAAACGTGTCAGATTTCTTAATCAACATACAGAAATATTTTATGAGCCACAAGAATATATAGAACATGAATATCAAAATCTATCGAGACCTCCTCCATTAATACCATTAGATGAAAGTGATCTTGACATAGAAAATTCAAAACAGGAGTCCCACAATTCTGATGATAAACTTGATGTTTTATGCAATCCTGATCAAATGGAAATAATTGCATCAAAGCCCCGAAGCTTAGATATTCTTGAAGAAAGACCACAAAGAGTCAACAGATACCTAAAAAAACCGCTATATGTTCTTTTACAAAAATTTAAGGATCAGGAAGGCGTTATGAATAGCTCACACAACAGACAGGATGGTCAGGCATCTAAAGCTACTCAGAATAGTAATTTTGAATCTAATTTAGAGAAAAATAATTTAAAAATTATGAACAAGTCTAACTTTTCTAATGAGAAGCAAAATACTTCTGTGAAGCAAGGTAATTGGTATAGATTTTTGGAAACAATGAAAACAAAAGCAAAATTACAAAAGACATCCGAAAATATTATTTCTAATTCTGAAGTTTCACATGAATTTGCATCTTCTGCAACACAGGGTATGTCTACAAAAATTGCTGCTGCTGAAAATAATACAAATTATAATTTGCATAATAAAAATATATTTACATTTTTAGAAACCATGAAAACTGAAGCAAGGAAAGAGTTGGTAACAACACATGAAAATACAGTTGCCAATCCAACTATTGACAAAAAATTACAGAAAGATGCTGCTATCAGGAAAAAACGTTTGATTATTATGTTAAGAGCACTGAAAATAAAAACAATAGATGAGTTGTTAAAAGAATATTCCAATTATTTAGAGAAAAAATTGAAGCTATTGAAAGCAAATAAAAAGCTTATAAATGATGGAATTCATGAAAATAGTCTGAAAAAACCTGAAAGCATGAAGAAAAAGATAAAAAACAAGTCAGTACAATTGAAACATGAGGGAAAGAAAAAAGAAAATGAGTTTTTGAAATTACAAAATGATTTGAAATCAAAGCAATTTGTAACTTCTGATAGGCCTGATATATTTTATGATATTCATGAAATGTTAGAACAAATGGATAATAGTGCAAGTTGTTCAATAAATGATAATTCAAAATTTGGAAGTAGTAATTCTATCAAACAAGGTAAAAACGTCTGGTATCACATAAATTTGTTATTAAGTCTGATGTTAAAAATCAATTGATTTGACACTATTTTCTTGTCTTGCTTACCTTAATCAGGAGAAAAAAATGCAAAAAGATTAATAAATAGGAGATGCTCAGAGATCACTTCAATCAAACATGACAGGGTGTTAGGACTCAGTAACTCTATTGCACTACTAAATGAGCAATTTGCTCAATATAATAGTAAGTAGAAATTAAATTAAATTATATATAAATTAGATATTTAAAAATATAATGTTAATTTAAATAAACTCTGACTGTTTTTGTTTTGTAGAAACTTCTAAGGTTGAAACAGATAATCAGAAGCCAAATGTGAATATTGCATTTAGAGCCTATAAACCAATGTATGTTTTCATGAAGCCAACAGAAGATTCAACTAATTCACTTTCAGGATTTTCAGGTAGCTACGTAATGTTATAAACTATTTCATGAAATATAATTAAAAATATTGATCCATCAATAATGTATCTTACTAAGATATATATATATATATATATATATATATATATATATATAATGTAGTTTTGAACAAGAATCCAAAAAGTAATAAAAAACAAAAAAAAGATTTTAATAAACTATTTATTTATTTATTTATTTATTTATTTACTGTCGACGTTTTGGAACTAGGTACGTTCCATCTTCAGGACATCTGTCAAGAAACATGATCTTGATGAGATTTAAGCAAACAATATGTTTAAGAAAAGATTGGATTTTTTAATTATTTTTAATTAATAAATTAGTTGGAAAAATATTGTACAGAAATATGATAATATGATCAAAATGAAAATGATAAAAATAAATGAGTGGATTATATAACAGGATTTAATATTAATAATATTGTTTGGTTTTCAAATAATAATTTTGAAAAAGACAGAACTTATAGTAATTTTGATTTACAAAATTTATCTATTCGGCTGAAAAATAACTCATAAATTCAATTTTTGTTAAAATCTTTTTTAGTGAAAAAGTGCTAACGTATATTCAAACATACAGGTAATTAATTCAATTTTGTCATTAACCTTTTCTTAAAATTTTCCATAACTTTCAAAAAATTATCATTTTTAATATCCTGTTATATAATCCACTCATTTATTTTTATCATTTTCATTTTGATCATATTATCATATTTCTGTACATTATTTTTTCAACTAATTTATCAATTAAAAAATCTATTTTCTTTTCTTAAACATATTGTTAGCTTAAATCTCATCAAGATCATGTTTCTTGACAGATGTCCTGAAGATGGAACGTACCTAGTTCTGAAACGTCGACAGTAAAAAAATAAATAAATAAAGAAATGGTTTATTAAAAAACTTTTTTCTTGTTTTTTATTACTTTTTGGATTCTTGTTCGAAACTACAAAATATACACAAATCCAAGACTCTACCATTTAATATATATATATATATATATATATATATATATATATATATATATATATATAATGTGTTTCTACTTATTATAGGAGTTACCAGCATATCAGACTATTTTCCATCATTTAAAAAAACAAAGAGGGTGCATAGCAAACAGATTTCTTCTGAAAATGTAATAACTAATGTGAATGAAAATGAAATGAAAAATGCAAAATGTGATTATAACAGTGCATTGGACGGTATAAATGATATTAAATGTGAAGAAGTCAATAAGAATATTTACAGTTATGACAATGATGATGCTGTATCCAATGATGATTCTCAAAGCTCAAATCACACTTTCGACTTCATCACTAAAGCTTTGAGTAAAACAGATTTAGTTGTAATGCCTTCAGGTGGTAATATTAACAGTTATAGGCTAAATCATCTCAAGAAATATCCTGAGAAAAAAGGAAAATGGAAGATTGAAAAACTAATAACAGAATCTGAGAGAAATCAATGATAATTTTTGTAATGTCACATATTAATAATCAGTATTCTGAATATTTTTTTTGTCAATCTGAGGTATAAATTTAAAATATTAATCAATTATGAATAAACATATAATGTTTTGATTTTATAAGTTGAAAACTCATATGTTGAAAGTATTTATTAAAGAATTTTTTGTAGATTGCTAATTTATTTTCATTCACATACTCATTATTTATTCACCTACTTTCCTTCTTGAGCCGGCTACAGGCGTTACCATATAATTATATTGTCTAGAACGTTACTGTATATTTGCGCAACCAATTACTTGCACATGTATTCCGTAGTGTGTGCGGGGTGTTATTTGTGTAACTTGACAGACTGGTACAAGGGTACCAGCAAGAGTATCCAGTCAGTCTTTTTGACAGAAGCTTACTGTACGGTTTTGCATGTATTAATGTGTAAAAACACTGTGAAGTTGGCTGTGTGAAATTTGAGTCTGTCGACCATAATTGTGCTTCGCGCATGGGCATATTAAATTTGTCATGTTGTAATCATTGCTAATCGTATAGATAAATGAATATTATGGTTAATCGCATTCTCGATCGATACTAATTTTATTTTTTCTGTGAGTAGTGTTGTAATTAGAGGTTAGGCCAGTTTTATTTTTAGATTTTTCTGTGAGTGGAATTTATCAATTATATTTGTTTTTTTTTTTATCTTATTTTTTTTTCGATATAGGTAGCATAGGTTAGAGGTTTTTTTTTTACTCTAAGATACAACCATGATCTTTATTGTCAAACAAAGTTTCTCAAAATTCGTCGAAAATTTTTTTCTCAAAAAACAGCCCAGCTGTTTTTACTGAAATCTATTTAGCACGATTTCGAATATGTCCTAATGTAAGCTATAACGTAAGAAAAGTTTTACCTATTCTGTTATTTATAAAAAAAAAAGGCCTCGGCCAACCGTCGCACAAAACTACTCAATGCTAGTTCTTATCTTTTTTCTCATTTGATGCTGACTCTCGAGAAAACATAAAATTAACAAAATGTATTTTTAAGTTTCAAGTTAATGTAGCGATCAGATATTAACGCTATGCATAAGAAAGTATGGCCTGGTATGGCCATGATTAGAATATGATATCTTTATATTCTTAAATTATAAAGATAGATAAATAAATTAGACCAAAGTATGAATGTAAAAATGAATATACCTATGATAGAATTATAGAATAAATGATAAAAAGTGTTTGTAATGACCATATTATATACATATAATAATATGTATAAAATAATACTATTGTATAGATGTTTTGAACAATCTCTCATACCAGACACTTCCGTCTTCCGTCTTAGAGGTAGCCATTATTAAACACCCGGGCCTCGCTATACGGCCGCTCTTTATAGGCCTTCCGTTGTGGTAACTTCTGTGGTTATTATAAGTTTAAGAAAGAACCCCTAGAGTACTCTATTGCTTTTCAATTGTAATATTCGACAACGAACGAATATGCATTTCGTTGAAAAGTAACTGGGCGCCATGTTTTTAACTCATTGACAAACCAGTTGATTTTTCAACTAGTTGTTTCGTTGCGTCGAAACGGTTGATTCGTTAGCGAAGGAGAAACGGTTGAAAAAAACCGTTCGTTGATTCAACGCCCATCACTACATACGGGTTTGTTCGGAGTACAGTCACCGACAGTCCGCAACCGTCAGACGCATGCGCAGATCGTTTTGACCGTTCGATGTGTCCAAAACTGAATCCCAAACTGTTGTGGATTTTTATCTACGCGTTCGGTCAGCTCGGTTTGATGCGTTTGTGACTGTCAGAGAACATGGATGCCGATTCTTTGAAAACATTAATTCTTGACTTTTCTAACCTCAAATAAAGTATGAGATTAATAAATTCATCAAATTTACAGGAGTTTAACGATTAAAAATAAATAATTAAATAACTGTTTTATATATTTGATGAAAATAAACATCGAAAAACTTATTTATTATATTTTTAATCTATTATTATATTAAACAATAAAGCTAAAAAAAATATAAATAATAAATAATATAATTTGATTAAAACTAGTAGTATTAGATCAGTATTCAACTGCCCAAACAAACATAAAAACAAAACGAATTATACTAAACGGTTTGTGAAGGTTAGGTCGCGTTCGATGTAAACCGTCCTGTCAAATCGTTGGAAAGAGTCATGAGACGGCGCGTGCGCAGTGTAACAAATCAGAATGAGTTTGGAAGAGTTGTGGATCGTCACAAACTGCCACTGCGAACAGACCTTTTAATTAAAGTACGTTTTCGATATACGGCCTAAAACATAGATAAACAAGTATAATAGATCGCTATGTCTGGCGATTTGACGCCTACATAAATAAGCATAAATAGATCGATATCTCGGGCGATTTGACGTTACACTCATTTTAATTTACGAATAGATGTCTGGCGATTTGACGCCTAGATAAATAAGCATAAATAGATCGCTATCTCGGGCAATTTGACGTTACACTCATTTTAATTTACGAATAGATTATACTTGTTTATCTATGCACATACGTACCACAGATATGTGCGAAGGCATGGAAGAGGAAGTCAAATCGACCGAAGCGTTCATAGTGGCTACTTTGAGCATTAAATGTAGCTATTATAACCAAAATTTTAAACAAAAACCATAGACCTTATACAATTTCATGGACTGCTAGTCCCCATACATTTCTCAAGTAAAAAAGTGTCAAAAGATGTTCTATGGTATGAGGGCAAACGAGGGTAATTTTGCGGCCGAGATATGTCAAACTCAATCGCTTGAACGTCAAATGAAAGTCCGTGTGTTCGAAATTGTTGGGAAAATATTATATAATATACAATTTATGTTAAACTAATGAATGTAATGAACTATTTATATATTTATTTATTTATTTTTGTTATACAAAGTGGTTAAGGAAAATAAGAAAAAAAATTAAAAAAATATTTTACATATTATAAAATTCACTGAAAATAAGAACAGTTGGCTAGAGCTATTATGGGAAATTAGAAAGCAACAATGAAATATTTGTTTAAATGTAATATATTTATTATTGGTGTTTAAAAAGCACAATTTTTGTGTGAAAGTGGCGTACATATTTATCAACTTTGCTTTTTTTATGTTCTTCATGGTGCATTCTAATTGTTAAATACATTTTTGCGTCAAAGCTGATAAGGTCTTTTGTACATTAAATTTAAAGAATTTCGAATTAGGGTTTCTATATATAAATATAATTTAAACATTTCATCGGAAGGATATGAAATCTCGATTTTTTATATCGATGAATATCGAATTTCCCGGAATACTTGCGAAGCATTCAGAACAGGTTTTACTGCAATCAGGAACTTTACCACAGACCAAACACATTTTAGAAGACATTTTACTTTTAACAATTTTACAACAGGTATATTTTTATCCTCTTTTAGTTTAAAAACCCGAGCGATCAAATATCACGTGAACCCAAGTAACTGTAAAATTTAAGCGATCGAGTGCATTCGACTAATCTCGGTAAAGCTCGTGTTCGTATTTGACATATCTCGGCCGCAAAATTACCCTCGTATGTCCTCATACCATAGAACATCTTTTGACACTTTTTATGCGCTCAACTAGCAGTCCATGTATTGTATAAGGTCTATGACAAAAACACATAAAATATTTGTTTAATTCAAATTTAAATAAAATAATTAAAAATGAGCCATTATATGTAAAGCTGTAGTATAGTGGGTTGTAGAAATACTAGCAGAAAAAGTGACTGCAAATTTTATACATTTTCTACAGCTAAGTGGAAAGAAAATCAATGGGAAAAGTGGATCGCTGCGGTTAGAAAAATAAAGTAAGTATCATAACCTTATTGTTATAAAAATTCAATTCGGAGTACTATGAATAGTTGTAAAATTGTTATGTTTAGCAAAAAGAAAAATTATAAGTCAATAAATTTTTATATTATCAAAATTTAATGCCCAGTAAACCACAAAACGTAACAAAGCCATGAATGTTACGTAACGCCGGCACGTCCGCACGAACCAGGTACGTAACCTGGGAGGCACACAGAAGCATCTATTTCGCGGGCAAGAACGTAACGGCTGTTTCGTTGCACACTAATACACCACGGTTACATTTTTGCTACGTATCTAAATTGAATAAAAAAGCGTGTAGGTGTCTTTTATGTTACATACTTATTTAATTAAATTTCCTGCAAATATAGAATATTAATAATAATTTCGGATATTTAGTAATTTTATTAAATATTATCATTTACAATATACAAAATTTACATATTACATAGTTAACATTAGAAAACTAAAATTTGATAGTCTATAAAATGTTAGCCTATAAAAATAATTATTTATTTATTCATAATATGTATTATGTTTAACTCTCTTGGCAACTTCAGTTAAATCAGACTTGGCAAAGTTAAGTCTTGCGTTAAATATGTTCAACTCACTTGCATCTGTTAATGTATCTAAAATAGAACCAAACATCTTAGAAACATTGTACACAAATTTTGAATTGAAAACATTGTGAACAAATTAGTCATTTGTGAACATTACCTCTAAACATACTCATTATTTGAAGTTAATGACTATGTAGTTCCTACGATCATATGACAGAGATAATTATTCCATGAACACACACTCAATTTTCTTGCATTGATTTTATCCTATTAATTTTCAAGATCTGAATTACCTAAAAGTAAAACACTACAAATTAGTACTGAATCATATTAGTTAAAATTCTCTTCATGTAGAACCTTAATATACCAATTCTGTAATGCAAGATCATCAGACTCGAAATACTCAACAATTCATGTTCTCTTCAACACTTAATCCATATAATGTGTGATATCCAGTGCATTCTTTGTTTTCCTTCTTGCATGTTTCTTTGGTGATAATTTATCTTCTTGATTAGAGTAATTTTCCCTAGTTTGAATTCCATTTTGACATAACCCATAGGGGTTATGAGCACTCTTTCTCTACAATTGAAAAGCAATTTATATCAGTTTTTGCTTAACTGAATAGTTCTGATACTAATGAAATTATAAAGAATATGTATGATACCATATATATTACACTTATCTACCTCTAATATTCGTATCATATCACTGAGGTTATGTGATTTTTGACTGGTCTGTCAGAAATTTCAATAAATATGTGAAAAATCAATTATCACAATACATAAACAGAATTTGCATTGCACATGACCTATATACTGAAAATAACTAATTAGTCATTAATATAATAATTTGTAAATTAAAAAAAAAACAGTGCAATTATACTCACTTTTCCTGGTTTCGTATTAAATATGTGAATTTCCTAAAAGTAAAACATTACAAATTAGTATTAAATCATATTAGTTAAAATTCTCTTTGTGTAAAACATTAATATACCTATTCTGTAATACAATATCATCACTTAAGAAATACTCCACAATTCATTTTCTTTTCAACACTTAATCTTAATATGTGTTCTTATTTATCGATATGTGTCCTTATTTTTCTTCTTGCATGTTTTTAAGCCTTGCTTGTTTTTTTTTGGTGACAAAGGATTAATAATTTCTAATATATTATCTAACTTTGTATTTATCTTCTCTATTGGAGAAAATTTCCCTAGCTTGAAATTCATTTTCGTAGGTGTTATCAGCACTATAATTTTCTCTACAATTGAAAACCAACTTATATCAATTTGTGCTTAGCTAAATAGTTCTGATACTAATGGAACTATAAAAAATGAATATGTATAAAACTATATAACTTACTTCTCTTTATTCATATATCACTGAATTGAGGTTATGTTTCTGACTGGTGTGTTAGAAATTTCAATTATTACATGACAAATCAATTATCACAATACATGAACAGACTTTGCATTGAAGGCGGCCTATACACTGCAAAGGACTAAACATTATTATAATAATTTATAAATTAAAATATATTTCAGTACAATTAGACTCACATTGTTTGTCGGTTTCATATTAAATACTTTTCCAACTGACTGTTTAACTAATTTCTACAACTGATTTCGCACTAAATATAAAAGCAATTAATAAATAACGCTTCAATAAAGGAAATATCTTGCATTTCAAACATACACGATAAAATACTCAATTATGCGTCCACGATGCACTGACCGAGTTAACCTATATTTAATTTGACATTTCGATCATAAAACACTTCACGGCTATTCTCAAAGGCGAATCTATGTGACCGTGCAACGTACCACGCCACGTACCGACAGATGCGAACAAAGCAGTATTGTAAACGTTTAAACGCGTCGACGGTGGTTAAAGCTCACAACTATACGTAACAGCATCGGTTCGTTTACTTAACATCAGTTTCGAAACGAAAGTTACAAAATGTGTTACGTTGTGGTAACTTCTGTGGTTATTATAAGTTTAAGAAAGAACCCCTAGAGTACTCTATTGCTTTTCAATTGTAATATTCGACAACGAACGAATATGCATTTCGTTGAAAAGTAACTGGGCGCCATGTTTTTAACTCATTGACAAACCAGTTGATTTTTCAACTAGTTGTTTCGTTGCGTCGAAACGGTTGATTCGTTAGCGAAGGAGAAACGGTTGAAAAAAACCGTTCGTTGATTCAACGCCCATCACTACATACATTTGCCTTTGAACATAGCCGTGAAGTGTTTTATGATCGAAATGTCAAATTAAATATAGGTTAACTCGGTCAGTGCATCGTGGACGCATAATTGAGTATTTTATCGTGTATGTTTGAAATGCAAGATATTTCCTTTATTGAAGCGTTATTTATTAATAGCTTTTATATTTAGTGCGAAATCAGTTGTAGAAATTAGTTACAGTCAGCTGGAAAAGTATTTAATATGAAACCGGCAAACAAGGTGAGTCTAATTGTACTGAAATATATTTTAATTTATAAATTATTATAATAATGTTTAGTCATTTGCAGTATATAGGCCGCCTTCAATGCAAAGTCTGTTCATGTATTGTGATAATTGATTTGTCATGTAATAATTGAAATTTCTAACACACCAGTCAGAAACATAACCTCAATTCAGTGATATATGAATAAAGAGAAGTAAGTTATATAGTTTTATACATCTTCATTTTTTATAGTTCCATTAGTATCAGAACTATTTAGCTAAGCACAAACTGATATAAGTTGGTTTTCAATATTAGAGAGAATTACAGTGCTGATAACCCCTACGAAAATGGATTTCAAACTAGGGAAATTTTCTCCAATAGAGAAGATAAATACAAAGTTAGATAATATATTAGAAATTATTAATTCTTTGCCACCAAAAAAAAAAACAAGCAAGGCTTGAAAACATGCGAGAAGAAAAATAAGAACACATATCGATAAATAAGAACACATATTAAGATTAAGTGTTGAAAAGAAAATGAATTGTGGAGTATTTCTTAAGTGATGATATTGTATTACAGAATAGGTATATTTATGTTTTACACAAAGAGAATTTTAACTAATATGATTTAGTACTAATTTGTAATGTTGTACTTTTAGGAAATTCACATATTTAATACGAAACCAGCAAAGGTGAGTATAATTGCAATATTTTTTTTTTAATTTACAAATTATTATAGTAATGACTAATTAGTTATTTTCAGTATATAGGTCATGTGCAATGCAAATTCTGTTTATGTATTGTGATAATTGATTTATCACATAATTATTGAAATTTCTGACAGACCAGTCAAAAATCACATAACCTCAATTCAGTGATATGATATGAATATTATAGGTAGATAAGTGTAATATATATGGATCATACATATTCTTTATAATTTCATTAGTATCAGAACTATTCAGTTAAGCAAAAACTGATATAAATTGCTTTTCAATTGTAGAGAAAGAGTGCTCATAACCCCTATGGGTTATGTCAAAATGGAATTCAAACTATGGAAATTTGCTCTAATCAAGAAGATAAATTGTTACCAAAGAAACAAGCAAGACTTAAAAACATTCAAGAAGGAAAACAAAGAATGCACCGGATATCACACATTATATGGATTAAGTGTTGAAGAGAACATGAATTGTTGAGTATTTCGAGCCTGATGATCTTGCATTACAGAATTGGTATATTAAGGTTCTACATGAAGAGAATGTTAACTAATATGATTTAGTACTAATTTGTAGTGTTTTACTTTTAGGTAATTCAGATCTTGAAAGTTAATAGGATAAAATCAATGCAAGAAAATTGAGTGTGTGTTCATGGAATAATTATCTCTGTCATATGATCGTAGGAACTACATAGTCATTAACTTCAAATAAATGAGTATGTTTAGAGGTAATGTTCACAAATGACTAATTTATTAACAATGTTTTCAATTCAAAATTTGTGTACAATGTTTCTAAGGTTTTAAGGTTTTTTTTAAGGTTCTATTTTATATACATTAACAGATGCAAGTGAGTTGAACATATTTAATGCAAGACTTAACTTTGCCAAGTCTGATTTAACTGAAGTTGCCAAGAGAGTTAAACATAATACATATTATGAATGAATAAATAATTATTTTTATAGGCTAACATTTTATGGACTGTCAAATTTTAGTTTTCTAATGTTAACTATGTAATATGTAAATTTTGTATATTGTAAATGATAATATTTAATAAAATTACTAAATATCCGAAATTATTATTAATATTCTATATTTGCAGGAAATTTAATTAAATAAGTATGTAACATAAAAGACACCTACACGCTTTTTTATTCAATTTAGATACGTAGCAAAAATGTAACCGCGATGTATTAGTGTGCAACGAAACAGCCGTTACGTTCTTGCCCGCGAAATAGATGCTTCTGTGTGCCTCCCAGGTTACGTACCTGGTTCGTGCGGACGTGCCAGCGTTACGTAACGTTCATGGCTTTGTTACGTTTTGTGGTTTACTGGGTATATATATATATATATATATTAAATTTTTTATATAATTTTGATGTTGAAATATGTGATATTCAGTTTTCAGGGCAATACATCAATTAAAAAATTTGTATGACTTTAAAACATTTTTATTTATTCCATACGTTTCGACACATTGTTTTGTGTCATCTTCAGTGGACTATGCAATTGAATTAATCCTAATTATTTCATATTATAAATGAATCCTACTGTCTACTGAATCAAGTAGGCACCCGTACATCGGAGCACAGAAATGTATGGCGCGATGTACTTCACCAATTCATAAAAATCTCAGTCAAAAATTTATATATTGTTCAACTTAAAATGACAAGGATTAGTTTTTTAGTGCACTGTGAACATTTATAATATGAAATAATTAGGATTGTTCATTGTGAACATTTATAATATGAAATAATTAAGATTGTGCATTGTGAACATTTATAATATGAAATAATTAGGATTAATTCAATTGCATAGTCCACTGAAGATGACACAAAACAATGTGTCGAAACGTATGGAATAAATAAAAATGTTTTAAAGTCATACAAATTTTTTAATTGATGTATTGCCCTGAAAACTGAATATCATATATATATATATATACCTACAGCTACAAATATTGTATATATTAAATATATATATATATATATATATATATATATATATATTTATATCTACAAATATTTAATATATGTGTATAAATGAATTTCCTTTTGATCGATAAGGTGGAATTCTGTAAATAAGATGTCGAATAAAGTTTTGTGTAGGAATTAGAAATTATATATTATACTATATAGTACATATGGTCAATAAGATACTAAAAATTTTAATGATCGAATAAATAAACCTAATTTTTGTTAACAAAATAAAAGTGTACTTTAAACCTGCATTAACATAAACTTTACCATTGTTTCGATCAGCATGAATATGACTTCCTATAATTGAAAATATGTTGATAAACTATCATAGCCATCGACTCAAATAAAACTATTGATTTGTAATAAAAAAATTTATTGAAATTATAAAACATATCAATATACATTTATTTACAACCTATTTCCATCATGGTTTTAAAAAAATGAGAAACATTTATGCAAATAAAGCAAATAACATTCATATTTAATCATTCAGATATTTAAATCATTTGACATTAGATATAAAGAATGCATGTTATGACACAGACAAAGCTATATAATTATTTACAATTTAAAACACACTTCCATAAGATAAGTAAAAGAAGTTATTAAGTAATGGCTTAATATATTTAAGCAAATAAAGCACAATATTTCCGAATGGTTGTACTTTCATTTTTGAGATCTCCCAGTCTAATTGAAAATTCAAACCACTCAAAATTGAAGTTAAATAAAATATAACAGTTCAAGTTTTTATATATAAACGCCATCGTAGTTGATTAAGCTTAAGACTTTTTTAATATTTGCCAATATGTTTAAAATCTTATTCAATGTACAATTATACACTTATTACATAATTGATATTTATTTTGTTATTTGCAATTACTCCATTCTATATGGTTTTGATTTATAATTCTCGATCTATATCCATCAATATTTTCCATTATAATTAAAATTGCAACAAGGTTATATGAATTGCAATATTTAATACACCTGTATTTTTCCACAATACACAATGGGACAGGTAATTCGAAGAGCCCCTGAAGAACCTATAAATTAACAATTATTGTAATTTTTGTGGATGTAATTCTAAATTATATTTATATTTCAATACCTGTAAAAACTAGTAGTTGAGAGTGCAGCTGTACAATAAAATGTTCTGTGGTCTGGGTCTCGTCGGGGTTGTTTGTAAGAATGTGGGCGATTAATAGAATGTTGAAGGAATAGGTGAAGAACAAAAAGTATATGTATGAAATAATGTTGAAGGAATTAGTGAAGAAGGCAGAGCATAAGAATGATATGCAAGGGATGTTCTCGGATTAATTCTGAAATTATTGGAAAATGTGCAGTGGATAGATAATGGAGTCTATCGAAGATATATTAGGAATTGAGGTTTGAAAGGTTTTGATGTACCTTTGCAATGAGAAAATAGTATGTAATATCTTTGGGCAAAATATGCATTTAAAATTTTTGTAAAACTGTTTAGGCTGTTTACCATGTACCAATCTGTTGTGCCGAAAAAGTGAACAAATGCACTAAAAAGTTTTGAAACAATGATTACATTGCTTCTGCACTTTCTCGTTGAATGAAAAAAGTGACCTAACCTAGCATAATCTATTATTAAAAGACAATTCATGTAAACCTAACGCAACGTAACCTATTATTAAAAGATAACTTATGTAAAGAATAGAATCTAGTGAACAATGCA